GGGTTAGGTGTTGGCTTCTGCTGAGCCACATGACAGCTGTGTCCAGGTGTGGACCAGGTACAGCTAGGCTGTAGCTCCCCAAAGCAACAACCAGAATGGGTGTGAGCCAGTTGGGCAAGGGCACTGTTCCTGCCATGACAAGAGATGGACCAAGTCAGCCTGGGCCAAGGACCCACTGGTGTGTGTGAGAGCTACCACTGGGAGGAGAGCTGATAGCAGAGCCTGGGGAATGTCTTTGTCAGGATGCAGTCCCTGCAGGCTATCTCAAGAACCAAGGCAAGCTGCAGCCTCAGACCAGGCCTTGTCTGGTTTTAAAAAATTAATAATAATCTTTTCACACCTCTTTCTGTGTACCGTGCGTCAAGGACTGGAGTTAGGATTTTGTATGTATGATCTTGTTTATATTCACAATAATCCCACAAGGAAAAAATTGCCATTTCCATTTCACAAATGAGAAATAAATGATTCACAGCAGCTCAAAAATGGGTAAGCAGCAATGCCCAGACAGAATTCAGACCACCCTACCTAAGAACTCTGAACTGAAGCCATCACATCTTCCACACCCAGTATCGGTGTGAGCCATTCGCCTGCTGAGCAGCTCTGTCAGAGGGTTCCTTTTCTGGGCTGAGCCAACTGTCTTGTTTCTGGAAAAGCTCATTAGTCTGCTCAATCTACTGCAAGAACACTTTCCGAAGGATTCAGAAATTATTTTCTGAGCACCATGTTACTTTAGTTACTTGCATTAAATGATTTTGTTTAAAATGCAGCATCCAAGAGGAAATTGAGCCGTGTCCATCTGCTTGCCAACTGTATATGATCTCCCGCCTAGGAACCTGACTATGTATATATTAATGTTTCCTAAACAGGCAACAAGCGTTTTCTTAATAAGGCTTATAATAGTTTAGAACAATTAATCTTCCAAATATTTAAAACAATTTTTTTTAGAAAGTCAGATACACAGAGAGGAAGATCTTCCATCCAATGATTCACTCCTCAAATGGCCCCAACAGCTGGAGTTGAGCCGATCTGAAGCCAGGAGCCACTTCTAGTTCTCCCACAGAGGTGCAGGGTCTCAAGGCTTTAGGCCGTCCTCGACTGCTTTCCCAGGCCACAAGCGGGGAGTTGCCTGCCTTAGAACTCGTGCCCTTATAAGATCCCAGTGCATGCAAGGCAAGGACTTTAGCTGCTAGGCTACTATACCAGATCCTTCCAAATATTTTAAAAGATGCTTTTATTTTCAAGCTAGGTTTTCTCTCCAGAGCTTTTGAATTTACATTTGGGACTTGCATTAAGCACATTAATTATAAACTAATTGTTACCATACAGCTGCTCTGATTCAGGCATAATGCCCTTTAAGTTCATATCTGTACTTACAGACACATACATAACCTCATGTACATAAATATGTGAACCTTACAAAAAGAACTGGGTAATTTTCAAAAATGTTGATCAAAAAACACACATACCTATAATTAGTTCTAAGCTCTTTAAATAGAAATGAGTATTTCAATTAAAAATTAAAGTTTAATTAAAATTGTTTTTAAATTATGACAATGTGTATATTAATTTATTGATAGTAAAAATATTTCTGTAAGAATGACAGTAATCAATCCTTGTTAAGTACATATCTGAGAATTCTGCTGTGGTGCTAAAATTTTTTTTTAGAAATCATGCTGAAAACCATGGAGCAAGTTTACAATGCCAACTTGTAACACCTGCAAATTTATTTTTTAAAAAACTTACTGAAAAGACTCAAGCTACTTAAGATGTGCTTGTTTGATACATTACAAAGTTTGTCTTTTTTTGGTAGGAATTATGCAGAAGCAGCATTAAAGCGTATTAACCTTATCTCACTTGTTACAATGCAAGTGATAAAAGTTTTCAGAATTGGGGGCCGGCCAGGCCGGTGGCATGGGAAGCTAATCCTTTGCTTGCCAGCGTCAGCATCCCATATGGAAGCTGGTTTGTGTCCTGGCTGCTCCACTTTCAACCTAGCCTTCCTCTCTGGCCTGGAAAAGCAGCAGAGGACGGCCCAAGTCCTTGGGGCACTGTCACCCATGTGGGAGACCCAGAAGAAGCTCCTGGCTCCTAGCTTCAGATCAGCTCAGCTCTGGCCATTGCAGCCACTTGGGAGCCAGTGGATGGAAGACCTCTCTCTTCATCTCTCCTCCCTTTGTAAATCTGCCTTTCAAACAAAAATAAATAAATCTTTTTAAAAAGGCTTCCAGAATTGCTATTCCTCATTGCTCAAATTCTATCTGTTTTTACAAACAAACGTAGCACCTGTATGTGATTTAGTATTACAGGACTATTTTACTACATAAATGCACAGACTCATTGGATAAGTGCTTAGTGGAGACATGACTTGGTTTCTCTGTAAATGACCTATTTTCCTTACCTATGAAATAATCACTGACAAGGGAAAACTGTCGATGAGAGAGCGAGCAAGTCTGTGCACTAGTGGGGCTGGGGGTGGGGGTGATAATCCCCTGCTATTGAGAATGTGCTTTCTGTTGTCCAAAACTCACACATCCAGGAATGGTCCCACATCTGGTAAAATGAGCTATTCACTCCTGCTTCTTTGGATTACTGAAAAAAAAAGTAGGAAAGTTCAATCAAGTGACAAGAATTTCCAAAACCATTTGGAAAATGTGTCATCAATAAGTCAATTTCTTCAAAATATAAGCAAGATGCAGAAAAAGAGGAAGAAAATTAACGTATGATGAGTAGTTTTTTTAAAAAGTACACAGAAAGTTAATATTTGTCCCTATGATTAAAAAAAATGCTTATTATAAGCAGAACTCTACTGCCCCCTTCAGCATCAAGAATGCAATACAACTCAAGTGCCAAAACATGGTACTCCCCCAGGCAGTGACAGAGTCCCAAATAATCTGGCCAGCCTATTGTCTTCCCAGGACACTGGCATGGAACTGGATTGGAGATTCTTAAACAGGCAGGGCTCAAACTGTCATCTGAACTTGCACTGGTTCTGAGAGTTTCAGCATTGACATTGCTTTCTAACTTACTTGGTCTCAGTTTAAAAACCAGTAAAAGCAAAACAAAAGCTAAGATGTTGGCTGTTTAGGCCTCAGTCACATTGCTTGGAGCAGTATTTTGCTTATTTGTTGTTATTTGAAAAGGAGAACAACAAACAGGGATTTTCCACCCACTGGCTCACTCTCCCAAATTATAACAGCCTAGGTCGACCCTGACCAAACCCAGGAGCTGGGAATTCTCCCACGTGGGTGGCAATGAGCCAATTACTAGACCCATTTGCTTCCTTTTAGGATGTGTTATCAGCAAGAAGCTGGAATAGTAAATGGAACTGGAATTCAAACTCTGGCATTCTTTCAACCTGTCAAGTGACCTGAGCACAAATGACATGTCCCCTTTGTTTACTCAGAAGGAATCTAAGTTTCCACAAAAATTTGATTATACAGACTTAATCATGAAGCGGGGATAGGTAAGCAAAGATACCTATACTCTTTGATTTTTAATTTTGAGACTCCGTCCTTCTCTAATCCCAAGAACAGGCTTACAAAGGCTCCACTTCTAACACTGAAATACAATTAGTTAGCAATTACTGTCACGTATACCCACCCACCACCTCAAAGGCAGGCACACTGTGCACATTTTCCAAGCGCCACCTAACAATCCAATGAGCAACAATTTATACTTTACGGAGGTATAAGATGGGATATTCTCTCAGCACCAAGTGCGACTCATGCCTGTTGAAATTCTTTAATGGAACAACAGGTTACAAACTACTTTCCTAACAACAAATATAATATTTAATTGGAGAGCTAGATAACACTGCCTTTTCTTTCCAGAATTTTAATTTGTACATTTTTTAATAGAAAATATAACTTTTTTTTGTAAATACATCTTTCATTAATTTAGTCAATTAATCCAAAGAAGTAAAACACTATAATTACAAGTATGCTATGAAATAAATATATACAATACACAGAAAAAAATGTTTTCAGAAAGTTTTATACAACCTTGTTATAAAACAAACTGAAATTAAGCAACACAAAAATGACAAAATCAGTTTAACTAACCTACATTACTTCACAGAAATTTTGCACTTCTTGTCCTGTCTTACTAACAAATAAACCCTCGATTTATTTTCTTTTACCCAAATCAGTTGTTCATGGTAGCTAAACTGCATAAAGTATACAAAAGACAGGTTTTGTTGAAAGCTATAAATGTGAAACTAAGGCCAACCCAGTACTTCAACCAGGTAAGCAGCAAACTGGCAGGGACGTTATGTTCATGCTGAGACCTGTGGTGCCCCTGGCTTCAAGGAGCACACAGGGGCTTACTGCAGGCCTTATCCTTACACTACCCACAAAGCTATAAACATCACATGTTCCCAGGATGCAGAAAAAAGAACTAAAAAAACCCCAAAAAAACCCTAAGCCTGCCTGCAGCACATTTCCGGTAAGAGCACAGGAAAAGGGTTCACTGTCGCTGGGTTTCCCTTCCTAACGACATCGAGATGGGAGCCAACTTCCTTCAAGTCTGAAGAGCAGACTCCTGCCACCCGTAGGTGAAGAAAGTTCCAGACCGATGAACTGCTACACAATATCCATAAAACACTGGGGTAAGGAAAAGGGGAAGCATGATCTGACAAGGTTCCATCATTTCTAGAGGAAACTGGAATGACTGGAAAAACGCGGTCTTAGATCGGAAGCCAGTCTTCAGGTCAGAAGGGGGAAAGAGATGTGGAAAAAGTCAAGAACTGTTAGGTCGCAACAGTTTAACGTGACATATCCCCATGCAGATAATTCCCCGGAACCTCATGGAGGCAGACAAAGGTTAGAAATAAACCGATTAAAACATGATAGAAGCACTGAGGAGGGGACCTGCTTTCACCGGATCTTGAAAAATCATTTATCTCCAAGAACTCCTTCCGGTAAAGTGCTGGTGCAGCATCACTTCATCCCCACATTTTATGTCTCTGTCTTTACAAGTGAAGGACAAAAACCAACTTCACAGCCCAAGCAAATCTCACAAGCAGCTGATAGCTTTTTTATGCCTCCTCTATTTGGATACCATATCCTCTTCTCTGAAAACTGCCTCTTTGGTTTTCAAATCCAAGTCCAATGTCCTACAAAGCCTCCCTGACTGCTGCTCCTCCGAGAACTGCCGCTGCGCCCCATGTCCTCTCACTAGCCCCTTGCTGCCTGCCCGCGGCTCTCCCGGTGCACTGCAGCCTGCTCAGATGGCACACTACCTGCTTCTCCATTTTGGAGTTTTTAGGACTTAGGATTCTGTGAATATGCAAATTAGCCAACTGCCCATCAGATTCGTTTATCAGTTGAACAAGCTACTTACAGGACAACCAATAAGTCATCTTATTCCAGTTGTTTTACCTGTTTGGGGCGGGGGGGGGGGGGGGGAAGACTAGTCTACCAGAAGAACTAATTTGCAATCCAAGTCCTTCATTCTGACCTCACGTTTTCAAGCTGCTCCCTCCCCTACTTTCTATTAAACTCATTTAACAGGCAAGAGAGAGAAAACAAAAGCAGAGACAGACAGACACCTGGAGGTGGAAGAGTGGAGAAGCAGGGATAGAGCAACCACCTTTGGGGCTCAGTTCCCACACGCCTGCAACAGCCAGGGCTGGGCACAGGGCCAAACCTGGGCACCAAAAACGAACTCGAGTTTTCCTTCAGGAGTAGCAGGAGTGAGTCATCCCTGTGGCTCTCAGGTCCTGCAACGACACGGAGCCCAATTCAGGAGCTGCAGCCAGCAAGTGAACCCAAGTCCTAGCAGATGGGACGTGGGAGTCCTAACTGCTAAGCTCAACACCTTTCCATATTCTTTCCTAACCCTCTGCACCTGGAAGTAAGACTGAGTCCCAAGAATGAAAACTAAAACATGATCATTAAACATAAAAACAAATCTAATTTTAGATTAGTAAATGTAAACAAATTTCTGGGCTTGAACATTGCTTATAAGCTACTTAATAAATTTCAGACTCTAACCATCGTTTGAAATATCCACAGTTAAAAAAAATTATGATCAAAATCAAAGAACGTAGCCACTCCAAGGCATATACTTTTGCACTTGTTTTGCTCCAATTTCCGCTACATAGATTGCACCCGTCCTCTTATCGACTTCCAGCAGATGTGGTAACACCTGATCTGCCAGTTGGATTGTGCCGATCACAGAACACTGGCCAATGTCTCCTGCTGGGGGTGCCGCCACAATGAGGAGCCGGCTAAGATTCAGCTGGGCCATAATCAAGTACTTTTCATCAGGAGTAAATCTGAGGAGAAAGAAATTTTCCATAATAAATTCACGTAAAATCCACATCAGTCAGCAGTGTTATTACCTACTGTGTTGAACACAGGAAGCGCCTCCTTGCTAAAGGATTTAAGGAGAAGTTAAGTTTGATCTAAATTTGTTTGAGGGGATAAGTGGATTTGTAACTGGTAGAAATGGCCAAAGATAGCTTCAGTCTTTAAATAAGAAAAAGATCAACAGTATGACACTAACTACAAAACTAGCAGGCAAGTAGTTTAGTATCATGCACTCAGACCTGGATGTGATCTTCATGTGTTTAAAACTTTCCAAAAAAAAAATCTCAAATGTATCTCAGTGATGAAGATGAACATACATCTTTTTTCCTGATTAGAGAACACAGAATTTGTTTCCACTTTATCTGGGATTAGAAAATACCAGATATGAAATTTCCCATTTCCTTCCATTTTCTCCTGCTTCAAATGAGTAACAACTATTTTAGAGTACCAGCTGGTTCTTGAGGGGGAGAAACACAAACGGACTAAAATTTCATTTCAAAGTAAGAAGAAGCCATTACCTGAGTGCGGAAGGGCCTTCTTGGGGGAAACAATTATCCCACGTTCCCAGCCACTCCCCAGTCCCTTTGTCAAACACTTGGACTCTTTTATTTCCTCGGTCAGCAACCCACACCTGAGAAACAAAACAAAAATGTTCAACTGGTAAAGACCCACAATGTAAGATGACAGAAAAACAGAGTAGAGACTGAATGCCATGTTTTCACATTGGCAGGGATTGAACATGACACAGCAGCGGCCATTTTGGTCCCAACCACCATCCTGTCCTTTAGGAAACTCAGGAATTCATCCCAGCCCTAGTGGAGTAAACCAAACTAACAGATAGGTCAAGCTTGCCTTGCCAGGCAGGACCCTGAAATGCCCCTTGTCCAATGCCTAGGATGGAATTCTTGAGAAAGTTCAAGTGTACTTAATTAGTCATGGGCCACTTCTGCAGTATGGAGACCCAACTCCACCCAGTAAATTAGTCCACAGCACTGTGGATTTGTTGTTTCTTCGGTTTTCCTTATCTGCCACCTTGGGTTGCCAGTTTTTGTACACTGGAAATGAATACATTATTATAGAACTCACAGGATCCCAAAGAAGCATTAAATGGCTCTTTCTAAGATGTGGAAAAACTAACGTTCAGAAAGGCTGCATCTGAAGTGTGTTACAAGTGGGGAAGCTGCCATATAAATGGCTGGCTGTCTTAACCAAAAGCCTACACTGCCCCATACTACCCATGTGAGCAGCTAACAGGAATACCCCACCATAATGCAGGGAATAGCGCCCGTCCTGAAAGCAGGAGCAGCACTTACTGCTAACAGCGTACCCTTTCCCTGAGCACTGTGCCACTGAGTCTCTGTCCAACCCCATCTTGGGGTCAGGCAGTAAGTGTAGCAGCCTTACTCATTTTTTTTTTAAAGATTTATTTATTTACTCATTCAAAAGGAATAAATATACAGAGGAGATACACACAGAAAGATCTTCCATCTGTTGGTTCACTCCCCAAGCAGTTGCAAAAGCTGGAGCTGAGCCGATCTGAGGCCAGGAGCCAGGAGCTTCGTCTGGATCTCTTAATGTGGGTACAGGCTCTCAAGGTTTTGGGTCATCCTTGACTGCTTTCTCAGGCCACAGGCAGGGAGCTGCATGGGAAATGGAACAGCTGGGATACGAACCAGCGCCCATATGGGATCCTAGGCACATGCACAGCGAGGATTTTAGCCACTAGGCTACTATACCGGGCACAGCCTTACTCTTCAGAGTGAGGCATTTGTTCAAATTACAGTATCAGCCAACCTAAACTTGCCATTACCACACTGTATTCAAAATGCTTAACCACTCAGAGAGGACAGTTGGGATATTTGATAACATCTTAAGTAGGGTAATAGACTTAAAAGATTTATTTTTTAGAATAGCAGAGCCACTAACACAGAGGAAGAAACAGCAAGTTAGAAATATTTCATCTGCCAGTTCATTACCCAAATGGCCCCAACAACCAGGTCCGAGGCAGGAGGACACGAAGACCTCAGGAACTCCATCCTGGTCACCTCCATGGGCGACAGGGCCCAAGTCCTTAGGTCATATCATCCTGCCTTTCCGACACAAAAGCAGGAGCTGAACTGGAAGTACAGAAGTCAGGACTCAGCCCAGGATTCTAATATGGGATGCCAGCTCCACAAGTTGGTAGCTTAACTCACTGTACGATAATGCCAGTCCCAGCAGGTTTCCTTGAGGTCTGTTAATGGGCCAAAATGAGCTATTAAGGAACTACTATTTCAAAATAAGAAGTCTGACTCAAAATAGATGACATTCCAAGTATTGTATGTATGCAACTTCTGTCATAAACAATGTGAAATGTATTTTGATGACATATTGCTTGGGTTGCAGAGACAGGAAATAATGAACTAAGTGGAGAGGTGGGCCAATGTTCCTGATCTCTCTTACCCCACTCTTCAAGTCCTTAAGATTTGTTGAGTTTCTGGAATCAGTAACTATTTTTTCTGGGTAACCCTATCTATATTTTCATCAGGGCATGTGAATGTTGCTAGCCACTGAATTCCTTTCCGATCAGAAACAAGGCTCATTTGCCATTTTAAAAATGCTACTACTACTGCCAAGTACTTAAGGTGATTTCTTATTCCCTTCCTAATCCGTATTTCTTCAGTAAGGACAGGTTTCCTTAAAAATTGCTGTCTCAGGCAAATGACCAAAGACAGTTTATATCCTAGAAATCAATAATAATGGCTGGCATTGCCAATCCTAGTCAACACTCAATTGGTCTTTGATTAGGGGGAATCCTGTTTAAGAAACAATAAGATGTCCTTAACACTTAAATAAATTATCTTCTCATACATGGTGGTGATGACTGAATGAACTACTCATGTAAAATACACAGACAACACTGTCTTTATAAAAACCCTTGCCTTGCTAAGTGCCAGGATCCCAAATGGGTACCGATTTACAACCTGGCTGCTCCAGTTCCCATCCAGCTCCCTGCTTGTGGCCTGGGGAAGCAGTCAAGGACGGCCCAAAGCCTTGGAACTCTGCTCCCACATGGGGGACCTGGAGGAAGCTCCTGGCTTCAAATCAGCTCAGCTTTGGCCACTGTGGTCACTTGGGGAGTAAACCAGTGGACGGAAGATCTTTCTCTCTGTTTCTTCTTTGCTCTGTAAATCCGCCTTTCCAATAAAAATAAGTAAATCTTTAAGCAACAAAACAAAACACAAAACACAGGTACACAGAAATTAACACCTTCACTTTTTTATCACTCTGCTGTATCTGTGAACTCCCATGAGGGATCTCTAAGACCTCTCAGAAAGATACTCCTCACTGTTGTGAATAAATTTGTGTCTGGCTTTTATAAGATCAGAAGTTCAATCTTCATTATAGTCCCAAGTGGCAGTAATTAATCAAGCTCTGGGGAGTGACATGTAAAGTCAGCATTCTAAAATTTCTAGTTTCCAATTTACAAGCAAAGGTCACAGGTTAGTTAGCTTATTAATAGAAGGGAGAGACAATGGATTGAATTATTAAACACTTTCATCATCAACACAGGAAGCCCAACCACAATTATAACACTGCTTGCTGGAATCAGAAGTAGAAAAGCATTAAGATGTCTCCTGGCACGTATCCTATCCATTAAGCATCAAGATGTCTATTCAGACAATTAATGAACACTTATGAATGCGGACTGCTAGGCACTAGGATATGAAGTGGAAGAGATTCGGTTTCTGAGTTCATTCAGCCTCCACACTGTAAGGGAGATGGATGTGACAGTTACTAGAAGGACGAACTGAAGGCCACTAAAAGAAAACAAGAAGAAAGTTGTGTAAACATTTTTTCTGGGCATTGGGTTTTGGGAAGATAAACCCAAAGATGTGGTTTCTATGTTGGGAAGGTATTTGAAGGTAAATGAGGTGACAGCACAATAATGAGAAACTGACTGAAACTTGCAGATGGAAAGTTTCTGCTCCACAGAGCAAGTCGGTCTCCTGGCTCTCTTTTCCACGTTTCCAAAATTAGCCTCTCCTACACCCAGGGAACTTTACATCTGAATCCATTATTTGTTCCTCCTGACCTTTAAGAGATACAGGAAACCTAGTTCATGATGTCTGAGTACTTAGGGAACCCTCTGACTACAGGAGTGAAACATTTTTAATAGAGTATGTGCACACCCAACTCCAGGGAAACTGCCCAGACACACCGACTCCATGATCTGTCTGTACAAACTCAGACACGTATGTGTAAGCCACAACACAGACACACAGCTCCCCTGCCCTCGCACCCGAACACATTCAGACACACAGCCTACACAATGACTGTATTTTTACCCGGCCAGTGGAATCAACTGTGACACTGTGAGGTATGTTGAACTTAGCAGGCTCCGAGCCATTTTCTCCTCGCAGCCATAGGATGCTGAAATCTAAAAATGGCACATACAGATGGTCAGAGAGACATGCAGAAGGTCCAGGGCATTTACACGTTGTATTTGGAGACAGCTGAGAAAATCTATTAAATTCTATCCCAGGTCAACTTAACTAACATTCCCATTTGTCTAATCATTACACTTTTTTTAAAAAAGTCCTTCTGGGGCCCACATAATGGCTCATTTGGCTAAAACCTTGGCTGCAAGTGCCTGCATCCCATATGGCTGCCTGTTAGTGTCTTGGTTGCTCCACTCCCCACCCAGCTCCATTTGTGGCCTGGGAAAGCAGTGGAGGATGGCTCAAAGCCTTGGGATCCTGCACCCATGTGGAAGACCCAGAAGAGGCTCTTGGCTACCAACTGGTTCAGCTCTAGCCACTGCAGCCATTCGGGGAGTGAACCAGTGGATGGAAGGTCTTTTCTCTCTGTTTTCTCCTTCTCTGTTAATCTGCCTTTCCAATAAAAATAAACAAATCTTTAAAAAGAGAAAAAAAAAGTCCTTTTCTGCCTCAAGCAAGTTATCTATTTCGTTAATTTTCACTGGAAGTTTTCATGATTGCTTCAAAGCACTGTTTTCCCTGAGTTGTGTCCCTTGTACCCGTGCACCTTACTGGGCAATCCCTGCAAGAGCAAGGAGCAGGAGGTGTGAGACACAGGGCCCCCAGAGAAGGGGCCGCAGCCAGGGCAGGCAGGGCGGAGTTATGCCACCACCTGTCAAGGAACGCCTGAGCCCTGGAGGCAAATGACGTCAAAAGATTTTCCCCTAGAGCCTGTGGAAGAAGCGAGGCTTAACACACACATCCCAACGTTGTCTATTCCAAAACTGAGAATGAATACCTGTTGTTAAAGACACTGCATCTGTTACAACCTTGCAGGGTGCGTGTGGTGGGTGTGGATGACACGAAGGTGTGAAGAGAACAGCTCCCTTGTTGGCAGGGCCGCCAGAGCTTCCAGCTGTATGGCAAGGCCCAGCGAATGTCTCTCTACCACCTTGATGCAGTTTTACCTCTGTTTGCATGGACACTCAAGCACCCCACTAAGAATTCTGTAATCTATTCAGGCATTGTTGCTTGCCCCTGTGAGATGGTTTTGCAACCGATGTGAGCTTGAGAGTTAAAGTCGCTGATAATGCCTTGGTGAGTGGGCCCTTCAATTTACACACAGGAGTAGAATTAAGCCCATGCTCTTTCTGGACACCTGGTTTTGTGCCTAGCCATTGGCCTGGAATCTGGCCCAGACTTGTAGCATGCCTTCTGGGAAAGGACATGATAAGTATCCTAAAAATAATGAGAGAGATGGGAGAATGAGCTGAAACTGCTGTGGCAATAAATACCATTACTGTGACCATGAAGACTAGCCTATCTTTGTAATTTCTTTGGAGCATAGAAAGTTACCTGTTGTAGCTACTTTTCTAATTTTTGACTAGAGGAATTAAAGGATGCTTTTATTAATATTATAGAGATAGGCTTTTCATTATTGCTTGACTGATTATGGAGTTGTAGAGTCTATAGTTGTAGAGGGATTTAATGTTTGAACCTTTTGTCCTGGATCTTCATGTTTTTCCCTTGGAACCTATTCTTCAAATTAAGTGATAGATAGGTTGTAGAAATAGAAATGTAGTAGGAATATATCACTGCTTAGTAGGTAACCACATGTGCCTTGGCCTTGGAGACCTGGCTGTTGTCCACTGGCTACTGCTTTAGAATGAATAATGGATTGCTTTGAAATAAAATGATTATAGTATTTTGTAGAATTACCTTTAAGAGCACCTGCTTAACCATGAAAAAAAAAAAAAAAGAATCAAATGTCTGTGTATTCCTGCTTACTCTTGAAGTAAAAATAGAACAAGTAAATGTTTGTGCAGAGGTGTGTGATGTGTCTGAGTAAATAAACAAGACAGCTTCTTGAGCTGTTGGCAGAGGGTACCGAGTGACCGTGTCTGTGTCCCCATTCGCCGATGCTACACCTGCTTCTCGAGCTGCGAACTCAGCTGGAGCTGGCCTCCGGTTTCACCTGTTACAGGAGCCACAGCAAACTAATGTCCCCATACCGTATCCGAGTCTTATCTTAGGTGGTTTCTTTCATAATACTGTCTGGATTACTGATTTATTCTACCCTACATTGACTGCTACCAACTGAATCCGGTCACTAAGTGACAAACTTGCCACAAACTTCCCATGACAGAGTCTTGATCCCGCAGAGTCCTATTCTGTAAGCATTCTGCTTCTACACCATCACAGTTCCACTGGAAGCATCTCAGGTACCGCATGGCAACACAAGGCTTAAAAACCCCTCCCAGAAGCTCTCAGAGTCACTTCAAATTTTACTTTCTCTTGTTGAAAAAGTGCATATTCTGCTACTTTCCTGCCAACGACCCCTGCAGATGTTGCAAGAGAAAGCCCCATAAATGTCCTGCCCAATCCCCTCTCCTTGCATCAAAAACAGGTCAGCAGAAAAAACACTGCCTTTGTCATATCCTGTCCTACTTCTCCAGTCAACTTAGTTCTTCCTTCTAATTCCTGTTCCGCCTGAAAAAGCAGTATCATGGATTCCACTTCATTGTTGTTGGCCTGGAACAGTCCCTGGCCCCTGGGATTCTAGGTCTCTAACCGCCGCTGGGTGTGTAGCATGCTCACTTACACCCTGAGGGCAGCCTCAATTTCCACCCAGCCTTCAGTGCCTTGGGGAGAAACACCTGCTCCCAGGGAACAACAGGCAGGCCTGCTGACCATCAGTCACTCTTGCCACCCTCACCCATCTGCTTGCTGGTTTTCTCCCAGTGTCGAACTTTGCCCGTGACACGCACACTCACATATAACATGCCACCATCGTACCAGGGAGCAGACAAACCAAATCTGAGCAACATCAGTCCTGTGGTTTTACACAAAACGAAGTCACGCACCTTGGGACAGCTTGATCAACCTGTTATTCAATCCTCCATCTCCATCCACAATGTAAATATCCCCGGTGTCCTCTACATGGAGTTCTGCAGGGTTATCAAACTGCAGGGGATTCAAACCAGCGCCCTTCTTCCCGGGAGTACCCAAGATCTGAACCAGATCGCCAAAGGAGTTGTATTTCTTAACAGTATGGCCGTAGGATCCTGCGAAGACAGGCACACATGTTTCATAAACAAACCCATTACACATTCATGTTCTTCAAATAAACTGAGAGAAAAATCTGACAGAAATGAATAGTAATTCAAGATTGGCTGGCTCAGACTATTAAATATAAGTGACAAGTCACAGGGAACGTCTTACATTACAGGCAAACGTGCTCATGAATTAGTCTGTCCCACAAAATAAGCAGACTCTAAATTCAAATAAAAGAAATTAACACCTTTCACAGAAAACTCATGCTAACAAATTGGCGCATGGCTTTCTTCTTCGTCTTGTGACCTTGGATAAATATTACTGATTAAAAAAAAATCAAGAAGAAACTGTATAAACAAAGAGTTTTAGCTGAAACTTTTGTCTCATCATTCACATTCAGACCTGAATGTCTGAATGTCAGTAGGTCAACACAAAACTTTTGGTAACCATACTGTCTCTTACTGGAAACAAATGGAAAATTTTAACTCAGGAACTTTTCTTTCCTAGGAAGGAAATTCTTGCCAAATCACTAGTACCTTATTTTTGTCAACTGCATTAAATGACTTTGCATTACAATGGTTTTAAAAGCAAACACATAAAGAAGAAAATTGTTTAATGGGAAAAACCATGAAGCAACGAATACAAGTCAACTTGAAGACTTAGTATTCAACAGGCCAAGCGGAAAACACGGGGCTTACCAGAGAGAAAGCGAATCAACCTGAATTACAATGATAGCTTGAAAAAGGCATTTACGTTTGTGTTTGCTGTAAAGCTTGAGCTAAGCCAAGTTTGCAGCTATAAGAGAACATGATACTAGTGCAGAATGTAAACCCCGAAGCTTCTGAGGTCTCAGCAAACGGGACAGAAGAGCAGCAAACAATGTGGATTTTTTTTTAAATTCACTGATTTGCAGACATGTTTTCATCAGAGGGCATGAACGTCTTTGGAAAAAGGGAAGAAGCAGAGAAGCTGCGCAGATGTGTGGGGCGGAAGACAATCCGGCCGGGCAAGAGACCATCTGTGAAGCCTGTAAAAAGGTTACAAGAACGGAGCAAACTAAACTCAGGGACTTCAGCCCCGGGTTCTGATAAACACAGCAATCAAAACGCTCAGCTTTCACTGCAGATCTGCCGCGGACTCAGAAATAACCTGGGCTTTTAACTGCAACCATTCCGTGGCAGACACAGCTTGCAATAAACGAGACTCAGAGATCACTTGGGTTGGGAGAACACACACGGCACTCCTGAGACCCCCAAGTCCATCTGCTTCTTTTTTGAGACCTCATTGGGTCCTCATCTGAGGACCCTCATTTGACACCTCAAGGGGTAGCGAAATTAGCCAGAATGTCCCTTGAATTTGTAACTAAACTGGCCAGAGAATAGCAGAAATCCTGCCATGACTGCTCTGCTTCCTTGCCGAGTCCCTCGGACAGGCCGGCTTGTCGGGGGTAGGGCTTGTGTCAAGTCCCAAGCACGGGTGAACTGCCTTCTTGGAACACTTTTTCCATAGTTCACTCATGCTGACCCAAGTTCCAGCATTTTCTACTACAAATACTTGATGGCAGGAAGATTTCACACCTGTGGAATTACCAAAAAATGCAAACATCCTTTTAAAATGCAAATGCATTCTGCTTGGGGCAACACGCCCCAACCTCTCCTGAAAGAGAAGCGAGATGACAGTGGCGGATTCCAAGACTCCTTTCTGAGCTCAGAGAAGCCGCAGAGACTTCTCTGAGAAGAGGGAAGGAGGCTTTAGGGAGGCACTTGACAGGCTGCCCGACTGTGTTCTGCAGAAGCAGGATGCAAAGACTTTTTACAGACAAGTTAAGTCACGGCTTAGGAAACAACCGACCACTGGATTGGACAACTGCGATTTAAAAGCCCACAAGCCAAGGACAGGGTGGAGTTGATCCCAGCAAGGAGGTAACTGAACAGACAGCTCCACATACCACTTCCTACATCCGTGATCCAGACGGACTGCTCGTGGGCTGTACTGGCTGCAAAGATACCGTGAGGGGTGTCAACTGTGTGATTCCAGGCTCGCAGCAAATATCCATCCTCTGTGAACACTAACACCTTTGGGACGTTATCCCCTCTCTGAAGGGACACAAGAACCACTGCTTAGAGGGCTGGTGGGAAGGAAGAGGCATCGCGCGATGGGCACAAAGAAACAAAAATCACAGGTTAACTGACACACTGAGTAATGTTCAAAATACCACCTTCACAAACCTAATAATATCCCGCACAAAACAAATCTAGTCCCTTGAAAACAACGCCCAAAACATAAGCTGCAAAATGAGCGCTGTGAACCCACAAGGCTCTGTGTGTGTGTGTGTGTGTGTGTGTGTGTGTGTGTGTGTGCACGCTGAAAGCCTCCCGCTGGGCTTACCTGGGCCACGTACACCAATCCGTTCAGGGAGTCCGCTGCGACACAAAACGTTGTGCCAGTAAAGTATTCTGAATTCCTGGGCCAACCCACATCCAGCCGGTAAAGCACTTGCTCTGTGTTCCAGTTAATTTTGAAAGAGATTTTTCTTAAAACCTTAAGTAAATCGAGAAAGTTAAGAGTCCGCTTTCGCTCCAGGCAAGAAACACAGAGGGCCGCGGGGTAGGGGTACCGATGGGGTTTGTTTTATTTTAGCATGTTTCAGATAAGCACACGGCTGGATTCTTCCCCAGCAGCAAGCACCCAGACTACCCAAAGACACGCCTGCTCCTGGAGGCTTGCAGGAGCATCCCAACTGTGTGCACGCCAGCAGAAGGGCGGTTGGAGGACCGGGTCCGAGCCCAGCTCCTCTCTGCAGCCCGGGACTGCGATGTCCATCCACGGGACCCTCCCCCGTGCAACTCACCGGAGAGCCACACAGATGAAAATGCAAAATCAACAAGGACAGCAAGGTGCCGGCGCCTGCTGCGCAGACCCAGAATCTGGCCATGACGGCAGGGCAGGTGGCCGCGGACTCCCGGGAGGCAGCTCGTCCCGGCCCCGTCCCTGCCCAGTCCCTGCCCCTGACCCGTCCAGTCCCGGCTGCCCGGCTCCTCGCCCGGCGCCCCGCAGCCGTCCACTCCGCGTCCCCACCCCAGGTCAGGCGCCCCGGAGCCCCCAGCAGTGACCACGCCTCCCCGTCCTCGGGGCCTGGGCCAAGCCGAGGACACCGCTTCCCTGCCCACATAGGGAAGCCCACCGAAATGCCTTAGCCACTCTCAGAGCATCCTTTCCCAATTAGGTTGAACCATCAAAATACCGCATCAGAAAAGCCGATCTGTAACGCGTCGTGACGTTGCCAAAATGATTTCCGGCCTCTGAGAAGGACTTAAGCCACATGGACTTCGGAAGCCATCAGGCATCTGCTCGGGACACCTATGTTCCCACATCAGGCCCTCTCTCCCGGAGGCTTCAAGTAAAGAGCGGTCCAAGCTGGTGGCGCAGGCTTGAGGTGGCTGCGGCGCGACTGGCTGCGGAGAAGGTCCCCGGGAGCTGGTGGGGGCCGAGAGGGGTGACCGGGCAGGGCGCCTGGCGCGGCGGATAGCGGCGGTGTGCGGGATCCCCCTTCGCCCAGGCCGCGGCCCCCTTCGCCCGGCTCCCGCAGCTGCCTGGCCGCCGGCCCGCTCCCGGAACCCCGCGGCCGCTGCTAACAAAGAGCCGGCCGGGCCGCCTGCCGCCCGGGCTGCGAGGCCGAGGAAAGGCGCTGTCCCGGCGCCGCTGAGGCCGAGGCGCTGGTCCGGGCGCAAGTGCCTGCTCCGCCCCGGGGCTGCACGAGCATCCTGCGGCCGGGCTGGGCCGTGAGCTGCAGGGCAGGCAGGGGCTCGGGGCTCGGCTCTGCCCGGCGCTGCTCCCGAGCCGGCTTGAGAGTCTGCCGGGAGTGGGTTTGATTTTGTTTTGAATTAAAAAAGAAAAAAAAAAGTTGTTTGGTTTTTTTTAGTCTCAGTTTTGAGAAATTTTAGCGAACTTGGCCATACTCTACCTCCTCGCCACCTTCTTCAGCTCCTGGCGTGTTTTTTTTCTTCCTCTGCTGTAAACATTTTGACTCTCGGCTGAGCAGACGGGAGATGAACCCTTGGTGATTGCAATTGTAACTTCAACACCGCCACCAAGTCGGAAAGATGGACAAAAAGTCCTTCGAAACGGTGCTGGATGAAATTAGGAAGGTAACGACCCTGGGTTCCTCGGATGCTTCTGAGAGCTGCTAACATTCTGGGCGTGTTCTTGTAGAGGGGCTGCGTGGCGCTTGTGCATGTTCGCTGCTTAGTGTAGGCACTTGTCCCGTGGATGCAATACAAGTTCATGTTGAACTGGAGGAACTGTAGTGTGGAAGTTACTCATCCTACCCAGCGGGAACGAACCAGGCAGCAACAGTTTTTGGAGTGGCTCTCTGATGCTTCTGAGTTCCTTGCAATTCCGCAGCTGCCACACCTTTGCAAGAATGGGGGGATTAGCCACGTGCTCTGATGCTTATTTCAGTGAATCAGGTTGTTTGTAAAGTTGTGCCTGGCCTGGCTGTTTTACTTTATTCTTTGCCAGGGAAAAAATAAATCAAGTCGCCGTTCCATTTGTTGTATTGGATGGCCCTGCGTGTTTTTATTTGGAGGAGTTTCTGGTTTTGCAGATGCTATTTGTTCTGTTAAGGTTTGAGGTAGGTGTACTGAGAATTTGGCACAGTGCGTTAATGAGCCGCCCACTGCTGGTGGAATTGAGCTGGAGATTTCTATTTGGGGAAGATTAAGGGGTTCGATTTGCATATCCAAAAAGTTGCATAGTCAGTGCTGGGGAGGAGGAAGTAAAGGATTTTCTGGAGAAAGACAATCACAGTGTCTTTTGTTGACTTTGCCAAACGATTAAGAACATTCCATCCTGTGGTCTCGAAACACTGTTGCCACAACTAAACCCGAGTGTCCTTCTTGATCTTAAGAATTGCCCCCCCCCTTTTTTTTTTATCATGTGGTCTCTTTTCCTGGATGTCACGATTGGCCTGTAGAAAAACTAGCCATCAGTTTAAAGTGGAGGCATGTGTGAAGACTAAGGAAAGGGCGAAGGAATTTTGAGTTTTTCAAATGCTAAGTAATAGTATATCCATTCATTCTGGGAAACTGACTGTGAGTTGGTTCTCAACACTCTCCCCAGTCTGACCTTGTAACAGCTCCCCTGGTGGATTCTGTATTCCTCATTGTACAAACGGCAACCCTGGTCTCCCTGAGTTGCCAGTCAACTCAAGACTCCTTCAGTAGCATATGGGGGTCACCAGTGTGCAGACCCCAGGCTGCGCCCACATGCCTGTGGCTGCAGCTGCGCCTCTCGGCCGTTGAGAGGTCACTGGTGCCAACACAGTGGAGGGCTTGGTGGAGAAACTTGTTGGCTGTGGAGGATGTTGATTGTAATGAGCAAGCTCAAGACTGTACTTGCCCAGTCTCACCTCTGCCCTGGGAGCTCGACGGCGGAGCCCCTCAAAGTTTCCAGTGTTCTCTGCTCGCGTCATTTCCTCCTGGCGTGTTGGGTAGCGTTGTCATGACTGCCAGCTTCCCTCTCACCTTCCTCTTGGTGGATTCCATGTGAGGAAAGGACCTGTCACATCAAGCACCTGTCATGTGCCCTATCATCTGTGGGCTGTGCGGAGGCTCCGGGCACTGTGTGACGTGGGTAGTGAGTGAGGGCACTTCTCCAGCGCAGCCAGGCCGTGAGTTTAGGACTCGGCTGCTTGGGTATTGGTCCCATAAAAGTACTGAGAGCCTCTGCTGGACATGGTTATTCCTGCCCCTCTGTCAGAGCATATAGCAGGTGCTCGTTATCTAATTAGTACTTGATAACCCATATATTTACTCTTTTTTTAAAGGTGTATTTATTTTTATTGGAAAGTCAGATATAAAGAGGAGAGATGGAGAGGAAGATCTTCCGTCCGATGATTCACTCCCCAAGTGGCAACAATGGCCAGAGCTGAGCCAATCTAAAGCCAGGAGCCTCTTCCTGGTCTCCCACATGGGTACAGGGTCCCAAAGCTTTGGGCCATCCTTGACTGCTTTCCCAGGCCACAGGCAGGGAGCTGGATGGGAAGCAGGCTGTCGGGATTAGAACTGGTGTTCAAATGGGATCCTGGTTCATGCAAGGCGAGGACTTTAGCCAGGCTACCATGCTGGGCCCCACATTTACTTTTAACAGTGACAGTTTGCTTGGATCTGCTGTGCTTCCACACTGTGTAATTACATTCACCAGCATTCAGTATGCAATTCCTACTAATGTGGAATGCTGTTGGTTCCAGTCTTACTCTCTTTCTTGGTAGGGATTAGGGAGGACCAGGTCATCTTCCTGTTGGGGTCCCTTCCAGGGGGACCTTGGAAAGGGAGAAGGGCTGGTCACTGGGTGACCCTCGCTGCCTGTTGAGGGGTGCTGCTGCAGCAGGCCCACCGAGCGTGCTGCCTGGCTGCCTCCATGCGGTGGCTGGGTCACTGGGCTGCCTCCATGTGGTGGGCGGGTCACTGGGCTGCCTCCATGCGGTGGGCGGGTCACCGGGCTGCCTGCAGGCGGTAACACTGTGCTTCTGTTTCTTTCCAGGCTGTTTTGACAGAGTACAAACTAAAGGCAATTGAGTACGTGCATGGGTACTTCTCCAGTGAACAGGTATGCCTCATTTGTTTAACACAGTCTGCTTTTAACGTCAGAGTTCTGCTTCAAGCCAGCTTGCTTATGAAATGTCGGATTTCTTTTACCTTTTGCCATATTTATTCCAAAACATTAGAAGCTTTCCATTTTGATAAAATGCTTTGCAGAGTTTATAATTCAGGAGTGTTTTATAAATCTGCATACTTTCACCACACTGTCAAATTCTAACATGATTTTCAAATCATTGTCAAACGAAGTATTTAAGTGTTTTTTTCAAAAGATTTATTTTATTTTTATTGGAAAGGCATATATACAGAGAGGAGGAGAGACAGAGAGGAAGACCTTCTGTCCGATGATTCACTCCCCAAGTGAGCGCAATGGCTGATGCTATGCTGATCCAAAGCCAGGATCTAGGAACTTCTTCCGGGTCTCCCACGCGGGTGCAGGGTCCCAAAGCTTTGGGTCGTCCTCGACTACTTTCCCAGGCCACAGGCAGGGAGCTGGATGGGAAGCAGGGCTGCCGGGATTAGAACCGGCACCCATATGGATCCTGGGCGTGCAAGGCGACCCAGTGTTTAAGTGTTTTTCATACTGGGCGTTATACTGATAATTTATGACCTTCTAATAGTAAGCTCACTCAAGTGTATACAGTGTTATGGGAGAGTAATGACAAACTTCAGGACACAATGTAGAAGAAAATCTGGACAAATAATGAATGTATTTCATGAGGCTCCTAGATAAAAATTACACGAAGAACGAAGGGTGTAGTATCTAATACATAGTTTAAAGCATATTAAGCATAATACTGTAGTGAAAGATTTCACTCAAAATTTTTAAAACTTAAATAATTGTTTACACTACAGATACACAAACATGTACATATGACATAAGCAAAGAAATAGAGTGCATTTCAAAGAAACTTCTAAAAGTGGAATGAAAAATTTGTTGATGTGGGGGCAAAAATTTTTGAGATAGTTTACAGAAAATACAAACTGGTTTTTTTGTTTGTTTTTGTAAAAGCCAGGCTTGTTTGTTAAATAACTGTTGTGTGTGAATTTTCTTTTCTCACCTTACTTTATGGAATAATTGAAACATTATCACATTTTCAGGAACTCACAGTAAAATAATGAACGAACCCGGGTTTAATGGCTCCCACCAGCCTCCTCTCGTCATTCGTATTTTTCTTTGTGGAGTGTGCTCTGAGACAGACGCTCACGCAGAAGCCTTGGGGTGCTGGCTTTACCCCCTCACTGCTGGCTTTTTTTTTTTTTTTGCGCATGTCACGTCGTCTCCCTCCCTGGGCGGAAGCTTGCTGCTGATGGTGGGCGCTGGGGACAGCTGGGTATCTGACCTCTAAAGGGGGTCCTGGGCCACGGCCGCTGGTGGTAATTCGTGGTACAGATCCTTGGGTCTGTAGGGTGTGCCTCTTGGACGTCTTACGCCT